ATTTATCTTCAGATAGAGTGGGCGGGAGAGAGGGAGAGAGGGGAAGAGAGAAAAACATAGATGTGAGAGAGGCGCATGGACTGATTGCCTCCAGTAGACCCCGACCAGGGCTGGGGAGGAAACCCCACCCAGCCCTTGACCAGCATCCAACCCGCGACTCTTTGGTTCGCAGTCCAACCGCTGAGCCAAACTGGCCAGGGCCTAATTGCTGCTTTTGCCCCTAACGGTCTCCAAAAGATCAACATCAGTGTGTTCTCATCGCCTCCCCCACCCCCATTGCCATCGCTGGACTGCAGGGAGTAATCAGCCTTCAAGAGGGGCTCTACGCCCCCCCCCTCCACGCCGCCCCCGCCTCGGTGGCGCCTCCTGCCAGCCTGGGCAGGGACTGATGAGTTTGAGCGGACCTGGGAGTTGGGAGGCCGCCTGTTTATTCCGCCTGCAGGCACTCCTGATTGACAGCGCACAATCGAGTTAGGGCCCCAGCTCCGGCTGATGCCCTAGAGGCGGAGGCGCCTGCGCCTGCGGGCTAGAACTGCCTCTCCCTGGGGCATCGAAGGTTTGAGTGAAGCTGGAGCCTTCCGAGGAGTCTGAGAAGGGGCTGTGTGCAGCCAGCGGCCAGCGGCCAGCGGGCTTAGTAGCATGTGGCCCTGAGGGGTGGGGGTAGGTGGGACCAATTTTCCTTGCCCTTCTTGCCATTCTTTCCCTTTCCACAAAGGACAGGAGGCTCAGAAAAGGAGGGGCAGGGTGCCTATTAGAAGAGGGAAGCCCAGTCCTAAAGGGCTATGTCCCAAAAGAAAATGGCACCGATGCAGGGAGGGAGGTAGGAAGCCAGACTGGGTCTTGGTTTTGGGCAGTGAGAAACAGCCCCACTTGGGTCTCAAGCTGCCTCACTTCCTGGCGAGTATGTATCTATTTCCAGCAGGCTTGTGGACCTCTCCCATGAGCACGTGCCCAGCATACTCTAGCTTTCCTGCCACCAGCAGCCAGTGAGGTGGCTGCAAACACCCTGGGCTGGGGGAAGACAGGGATAAAACCCGGCCCCAGCTCAGCTTTGCTCATGCGGATCCTTTGTTTCCTTGGCCTACTCTTGGTTGGGCTTCCAGGTAGTCACTGTTTAAAAACCACAGTTCACCTGGCTAGTTTGGCTCAGAGGTTGGAGCATCGGCCTGCAGACCAGAGAGTCCCGGGTTCGGTTCCCGCCTGGGGCACATACCAAAAAAAAAAAATAAATAAAAACCACAGTTCAGCCTGTCATATGTCCCACTTCCTCCAGAGTGATCATGCAGCCCCATCCTAAGGGAGCAGCCGGAGTCTATGCCCAGCACTGCTCAGCACTGGGCATGGAACAGAAGAAACCAAAGTCCAGAAGCCATAGGGTTAATGAGTTAGTACCAGGGCAGACCAGAGCCCATGAACTTCCAAAACAGGAGAAAAGGTGAACAAAGATAGAGGATGGTCAGTGAGAACTGAGCCCAGTGGGGAGGGTAACGGCCTGGTTGGGGAGGATGATGTGATGCCAGACATAACGAATATGTCAGGGCATCAGACTGAGTCCAGTTGGAGGCCCAGTCTAGAACCTTGTGGGAGAGAAGGAGCTATGGCTTCACTCCCAGCCTCAGTTTACCCATCTATACATTAAGTAGGGATAGATGTGAAGATGGACTAGATGGTCCCAAAGGACTCTCCCGGGTCAGATGTTCTGTGAGGATGGGCTGATAGAATAGGGGCAAGGCCCAGGCGAAGGGCAGGGAAAAAAGGTGAATCTAGAAATTGAGACTAGGACCAATGGGGTCTGGCGGGTACCTGTGTGTTGGGTCTGCGGTGGCACATTGGACCTCACCCCTGCAGAGCTCTTCCTCCCCAGACACATTCAGAGTCAGTACCCTTCTCTGTCTCCATGAGTTCTGCCCACCAGTTCACTTTAAGCCATTTTCACTTCGTTTTGCAGTACTGCGGTCTCAATGCTGCTGGCGGTACTGTGGTACTATTTCTGTAGGTCTTCCTGTTTCTACCCTTTGCCCTGGCCCTCTATCCCCAGCCTATTCTGCACAAGGAAGCCAAAGTGACCTTTTAAAAGCGTAACTCAGATCATATTATGCTCTGCTTAAAACCATCCAGTGATGTCTCATACCACAATCAAATCTGGCCTCCTTATAAATCCCTGCATCGCCCCTGCTTACCTCAGGTGTTATGTCAGGTCCGTCCCTTTGTTTCCTTTTCATTTTATTTAAAAAACATTTTTTTTTCTTTATTGATTTGTGAGAGAGAGGAAGGGAGAGGGAGAGAGAGATAGAAACATTGATGAGAGAGAACATCAATTGGCCGCCTCCTGCATGTCCCCCACTGGGATGTGCCCTGACCAGGAATCAAACCTGTGACCTCTTGATGCAGGAGTCAACACTCAACCACTGAGCCACACTGGTCAGGCCTCATTAAGGCCTTCAGACTCACTGCTTACCTTTGATCTTTATTGCACCTACCTGATGACTTTGATCATCTTATCTGAGGTAGCTACTCAGTCACTCTCTCACTGCATTTTCTTTTTTTTAAAAAATCCTCACCCGAGGATATTTTTCCATTATATTTTCAGACAGAGTGGGAAGGAAAGAGAGAGAAACATTGATGCGAAAGAGACACATCCATTGGTTGCCTCCCACATGACCTTGACCAGGGCCGGGGACTGAACCACAACCAAGGTACGTGCCCTTGACCGGAATCCAAACTGAGACTCTTTGGTCCACTGGCTAACGCTCTAGCCGCTGAGCCAAACTGGCCAGGATGCATTTTTTTTTTTTTTTTTTAACCTCAGGTGCAAAGGGTTGAGTGAATTATAATCCTCAGTTCATGACCTTCTCTTATCATTTGTCCTTGTAAAGTCCTCTTATTCCCTCATTAAATTTCTATAAGTTAACTTGGGGAGGATGAACATCTTTATAATAATTCATTCCAAACAGGAGTGTGAAATGTCTCTCTATTTACTAAGATAACCTTCATGATTTAAAAAAATATATGTTTTTATTGATTATTTAGAGAGAAAGGAAGGGAGAGAGAGATAGAAACATTGATCAGCTGCCCTGACTGGGAATTGAACCGGGACCTCTCAGTCCATGGGACTGACACTCAATCCACTGAGCCACACTGGCTGGTCAATCTTCATGATTTAAAAAAAAATTATTTTTTATTAATTTACTTTTGCTACACATTTTCTGCTTTTCCCCTCATTGACACCCTTCTCCCAATCCACTCCCCACACCCTGTCCCCAGCATTGATGTCTATGTCCCTTGGTTACGCATACATGAATCTTCATGATCTTAAAAGAGTTTCAAAAACTTTCTCCATGGAAGTCTTGTTAATTCCCTGACAGGATTTAGCTTTTGGTGTTATTTTGAATGGTATTTTAGTTTTCAAAGATTTTCTAGTTTCGCCCTGGCCGGTTTGGCTCAGCGGTTAGAGCGTCGGCCTGCGGTCTTGAGAGACCCGGGTTCAGTTCCCGCTAAGGGCATGTACCTCGGTTGCAGTTTGTCCTCGGCCCTGGCCCTGGTCGGTCGTGCGGGTGGCAGCCACTCGATGTGTCCCTTTCACATCGATGTTTCTGTCTGTCTTCCTCTCTCCCCTCCCACTCTACCTGAACAAAAAATGGAAAAATGTCCTCAGGTGAGGATAAAATAAAAAAAAAAAAAAATTTTTTTTCTAGTTTCTTTCTGTATATTATTGCTTCTAGGTTTCTGCTATTTTGGTAATTTGATTTTGTATCCAGCATCCTTGAGGAACTCTCTTATTAGTTTCAATTGTTTATTGATTTTACTAGTTTATCTAGTTAAATGACCATATTCTCTCCAAAATAATGACATTTGAAAAACTTCCCTTTAACATTTTAAAATTTCTTTTTCTTCAGCAGAGCAGTATCGGCAGGAGCCCCAATAGTGTGTTAAACAGTTGAGTCTGAGGTCGAAGAGAATGTGCATAACTTTTCCCATTATGTTTGTTTTGAGGCTCAGGCGCTTCACCTCCCTCTCTGGGTTCCTGATCACCCACCCTTAGATGGCTAGTCTTGTTTTCCCTTACTCTTGTTCCAGCTCTTTGGTATACATATTTTTTTAGAGGAAGAGGGTGAGAGAGATAGAACATCAACATCAGTTGGCTGCTTCCTGCATAGCCCCTGCTGGGGATCTAGTTCACAACGTGAGCATGTGCCCCGACCAGAATCAAACCAGCGACATCTTGGTGCGTGGGTCGATGCTCAACCACTGAGCTATACTGGCTGGGCTCAGCTCTTTGATATTTTAAAGGATATTTATATATATATTTATTTATTTTTTATATTTTGAAATATGCAAGCATATTTTAAATACTCTTTTTTTTTTTTATCCTCACCCGAGGACATTTTTCCATATTTTGTTCAGATAGAGTGGGAGGGAGAGAGAGAGAGAGAGAAACATGGATGTGAAAGGGACACATCGAGTGGTTGCCACCCGCACGACCAGGGCTGGGTACAAACTGCAACCGAGGTACACGCCCTTAGTGGGAACTGAACCCAGGTCTCTCTGGACTGCAGGCCAACGCTCTAACCACTGCTCAGGGCTTAAATACTCTTAAGGCATTTATTTATTAAAACGTTCTCTGCCAAGATTTCACATTAGTTTAAAATTCAAATCAGTCTTTACATTTCTCTACTGAGGTCTCCACCTCCGTGTATCACATAAAAACATCTTCTCCAGCAATCAGTGTTACCAGCATCCATATGGTGAGCCCATGGTCAGCCTCTTTGTTCCCTAGGTGAACCAACTAGATGTTGATACTGCTCTGCTACAAGGTAAAAACTCCTAATTCAAACTTATTGGGAAAAAAGTGAAACTTCTGCAAAGTGCACTTTAAGAAGAGGTACTTTTTGCTTATGAAAAACCAGTGAGTCCTCTAAAAATAATAAAAGGGAGTATTTTACAGTTAAGCACATGATTTGGAGTGAAGAATTTGGATGTTGCTCTGCTGGTCCCGGCTGTTAATACTCTTCTCGTTCCTCCGGTGGGCCTTCTTCATCAGGTATCACAAAGCCTTCATCTGTGGCACAGAGAATGTCCACAGTCCTCTGCAACACAGGGTTGTTTTCCCCCTCATTCTCCTGGCAAATCAATTCAACGTTCCTTAGCTTTCCAAAGTAGAAATCTCTTTCTTTCTCAAAGTCTTCAACTGTAAGTTTCAATACCTCGAGCTGCTGCATCAGTTCGGCTACTTCGTCATCCCCATCGCCCACACCACGATCCTTTCGCGCCACACCTGGGCCAGCCTCAGGGGCTGCAGGAGTTCTGTGTCGCAGTGGGTCTCTGTGGAGCTGCACTGCTGGAGCTGAGAGGTTTCTTCGGTTTGTTCAGAGCTGGAGCAACGAGGGAGGGAGCCACTGCAGATTCTTGACCTTGTCTGGCAGCTACAGGGTCGTACTCTTTTCCATCATAGTTTGCATCACAAAACTTCTTGAACCACTGAACAAATTCAAAATTGTCCTGAAACTTTCCTTTTACTAATCTGTCCACAGGAATTATTTTGTCAACACCCATCCTCTTCAAACCTGCTTGTAGTATTTTGAAGTTCTGGATGTATTCATGTTCTAGCTTAGCTTGAAATGTCACTTTCTTCAAGGCAGTGGAGCCAGGGAACAGCATGCCCATAAACTGACCATAGGCAGCCCCTGAGCACGATGGTTCCATCTTTGTCAGGTTCAACTGCAGGGACCCATGGATCCATGCCAGCATGTCGTGTCGACTTATGTTATCACTGGTGACTGACGTTGAATATGCGTTCATGGTCGTGTTCGGCTCTGGGTGGAACCAAGTCCACTGCTGTGCTCGGCTTCGGTTCCGCCTTAGTCTCCTTCAAACCATCCGATCCTGCCCGCCCACACGATGAATCCACACTCCCCCATTACACACCAATGTCTTAAAGGATGTTTAAAAATACTTTAGCTCGGCTGGTGTGGCTCACTGTTGAGCATTGATCAACCCATGCACCAAGAGGTTGCCGGTTCGATTCCAGGTCAGGGCACACGCTGATACCCAGTGGGGGCATGCAGGAGGCGGCCAATTGATGTTCTCTCTCATCGATGTTTCTCTCTCTTTCCCTCTCTCTCAAAATTAATAAAGAAAAAAAATTAAAAACACAATTTATAAAATACACACACACACAAACACACACTTTTTGGGGGTTGTTTTTAGTGTTATTTTGTTGTTTTAATGGACATAGAAGTCCTTTTTCTAACTGATTTCCAGGAGTTTTTAAAAATAAATGCTGGCTACACATCCTTGAAAATATTTTCTTTACTCCTTTCACCTTATTTATAGTGAAACAGGTGGTCAGAATTAAAAAAAAAATTCAAAGTAGAAAAATTTATCAATGTTTCTTTCTTGGCTAACCCTTTTTATGTCTTCAGAAATCCTCCCCTCTTCAGCAGAAATGAATTTTTGTTTAAAGTTGAAATGCATTTTATTTACTTACTATAGGAGTGAATAGATGTCCTGGTACTATTTATTGACTGGTCCATATTTTATTCACTCATCTGCTTCTTCAGCAGGTTTGTCCTATGTGGGGGTCTATTTCTGGGCTCGCTTTTCTTTTCCACCAGCCAATTTATTTTTTCCTACTCCATCATCTGTCTTAACTACTATAGTATTATAATTATGGTATTTAAAAAATATGTTTTTATTGATTTTTTTTTAGAGAGAGAGGAAGGGAGAGAGATATAGAAACATCGATGGGAGAGAGAAACATCCATCAGCTGCCTCCTGTACTCCCCCTACTGGGGATCGAGCCTGCAACTCAGGCATGTGCTCTGACCAGGAATCAAACCAGGACCTCTCAGTCCATGGGACACCACTCAGTCCACTGAGCCACACTGGCTGGGCTAACTTTTTTTTTTTTTCCAAATCCTCACCCAAGGATATTTTTCCATTTATCTTCAGATAGAGTGGGAAGGAGGGAGGGAGAGAGAAACACTGATGTGAGAGTGACACATTGATTGGTTACCTCCTGCATGACCTTGACCAGGGCCAGGGACTGAATAATTACGGTATTTTTATGATACGAGTTTATAATATGTCTTGATTTCTGGTAGGGCAAATCCTTCCACCTTGTTCTTTGTAAAAAAGCACCTTAGTTATATTTGGCTCATAGTGCTTTCATATACATTTTAGAATTTGCTTGCCAGCTTCTTGAAAATATCCATTGGAAAATTAAAAAAAAAAATCTTTAGTGTTGAATGTAGAATGTATTACAGATGTTCCACATTTTTCCCCTATTGACCCCCTCCTCCCCACTCCCGCCCTGCTCCCGCCTTTTCCAACGCTATTGTCTGTGTCCATTGGTTATACATATAAGTTCTTTGGTTTATTTCTTCCCACCCCTTTCCCTTTGAGGTTTGCCAGTCTAGCAATGAATTTGTACTTCTTAATCCCTTCACCTTTTTCACCCATTCCCCCAACCCCCCTCCCATCTGGCAACCAACAAAATGTTCTCTGTATCTATGAGAATGTTTCTGTTCTACCTGTTCATTTTGTTTGTAGATTCCATTGTTGATAGATATGTATTCATTGCCATTTTGTTTGTTCATATATTTTATCTTTTTCTTCAAAAAGACCCTTCATCATTTCCTATAATAACGGTTTGGTGGTGAGGAACTCCTTTACCTTTTTCGTATCTGGGAAAGTTTTTATATGGCCATAGATTCTAAATGACAGCTTTGCAGGATAGAGTAATCTTGGTTGTAGGTTCTTGCTTTTCATCACTCTGAATATTTCTTGCCACTCCCTTCTGGCCTGCAAAGTTTCTTTTGAGAAATCAGCTGACAGCCTTATGGGAACTCCCTTGTAGGTAACTAGCTGCCTTTCTCTTGCTGCTTTTAAGATTCTCTCTTTGTCTTGAACCTTTTGCAATTTGATGATGATGTGTCTTGGTGTGGGCCTCTTGGGGTTCATCTTGTTTGGGACTCTCTGTGCTTCCTGGACTTGTATGTCTGTTTCCTTCACCAAGTTAGGGAAGTTTTCTGCCATTATTGTTTCAAACAGGTTTTCGATTTCTTGTTTCCGCTCTTCTCCTTCTGGCACCCCCAAGATGCGAATGTTGGCACGCTTGAAGTTGTCCCAGGGGCTCCTTACACTATCCTCATTATTTTGGATTCTTTTTTCTTTTTGCTGTTCTGATTGGGCGTTTTTCGCTTCTTTATATTCCAAATCAATGGTTTGCTTCTTCGATTTACATACTCTACTATTGAATCTGTGTAAATTATTCTTTATTTCAGTTAATGCCTCCTTCAATTCTGACTGTGCATCCATCATTTCTGAGTGGTCCTTTTTTATGCTCTTGAGGCCCTCACTAAGTTCACTGAGGTTCTCACTGAGTTGATTGAGTATTCTTATAGGCAGTATTTGGAACTCAGCATCTGTTAGGTTGCTTATCTCCATTTCGCTTAGTTTTTTTTCTTGGGGTTTTGTTCTGTTCTTTCATTTGGGACCTGTTTCTTTGTCTCCTCATTTTGGCTGCCTCCCTGTGTTTGTTTCTGTGTATTACTTAGCGAGCGGTGTGGGGCTAGCTGAAACCAGATGCTGCTCATTTGAAAGAATTTAGGAAAAACCTAAAGCAGGATCCAAGACAGGCCAATCCTATGGTTAAGCAAGTGGCAACAGCTTGGATGGGCCTGAAAGTTGGGTGGGGAGGGGCGGGGCCTTAGGGAGTCACCAGGGCGGGGCTACCAGTGTGAGCCAGGTTGCTGGAGTCCCAGATATGGTGGCTGTCTGCTGCCCCAGGGAAGGGCTCACCAATGGAACAAAGGACTCTGACAGCACGTCTGTCCTGGAGAAAGCCCCCTCTTCAGCCCTCACTCCAGTGCCAAACAGCTCAATTCTTCCCTGTGTGTCTCTGGTGCCCCTGGAGCTGCCTCCCCTCCAAGCTTAGAGGGAGAGAGTCCGTTAAGTCCGTGCGTGGGCCCTTTAAGGAGCTGCCTGGGGCTCCAGCTGCATCAGCTTCCCTGAGCCTCAGTTCCCGCTGGTTTTTCCAGCCAGAAGTTATGGGGATTCTCTTCCTGGCACTGGAACCCTGAGCAGGGCACCTGGTGTGGGACGGGGACCCCTCAGTCCTCAGGAAGGACCTTCCCAGCCGAGGTATCCTCCTGATTTTTATCCGCCACATGTGGGTGTGGGACCAGCCCGGCCCTCGCGCCTCCGCCCTTCTGCCCCTCCTCCCAGTCTGGATGTGGCTGCGGCTTTAATTCCGTAGTTGTAGGACTTCCATTCAGCTTGATTTCAGGCGGTTTTGAATGATGGTTGTTCTGTAGTTTGTCTGTATCGTTGATGTGGTTGTGGGAGGACGCGATACCGCGTTTACCTACCCGCCATCTTGACCGGAAGTTCCATTGGGAGTTTGATCAGAATTGCATTGAAGTTATAAATCAATACTGGAATCATTAACATTTTTATATCCACTTATGTCAATCATGAATTGACATATGAGATTTCCTATGCATGTACTTAGTATATTTGTTTTCTTTAATACCTTTCAACATAATTAAAAATGTTTTCTTGATATAGGAATTTTTAAAAAGTTAACTTTTTAGGTAATTTTCACCAGAGTAGAACATGTGATTTATTTTTTATTTATTGACCTCGTATCCAGCCACTTTGCAAACTTTGTTATTTCTAATAATTTATGATTTTTATATAGATAATTATATCCTCTGTAAATAGTGACAGTTTTGATTTTTTTCTTTCTGGTCCTGTTGTTACTTGTTATTCTTATCCTGGGCACTGAGCACTTTCTCTTGGATAATGTTGAACAGAGGAAGAGACAGCAAGCATGTTCATCTTGTTCCCAAATTTAAAAGGAATGCTTCTAATGTTTCACCATTAGGAATAATATTTGCTTTGGGGCCTGGTTGGTCTGGCTCAGTGGTTGAGCGTCGACCCATGCACCAAGATGTTGCCGGTTTGATTCCCAGTCAGGGCACATGCCCAGGTTGTGGGCCAAATCCCCAGTGGGAGGCATGCAGGAGGCAGACAATTGATATTGTCTCTCATTGATGTTTCTATCTCTCTCTCCTTCTTCCTTCCTCTCTCTCTCTCTCTCTCTCAAATCAATAAAGGGAGAAAAAATATTTGCTTTGGCTTTTTGGTAGATGTTCCACATCAAGTTAAAATTCCTTCTATTTCTGTATTACTAAGACTATTTTTTATGGATGTTAATTTTTATTAAATATTTTTCTGCTTTTATTTGGATGATAATCTATTAATGTTGTACTATTAACATATTTTCTTTTTTTTAAATTAATTTTTTAGCAAGAGAGGAAGGGAGAGGGAGAGAGAGAGAAACATCAATTGACATACACACTCTGACTGGGGATTGAACCTGCAACCCAGACACATGCCCTGACTGGGAATTGAACTGAAGACTTCAGTTCACAGGACAACGCTCAACCAATCAAGCCACACCAGCCAGGGCATTAACATATTTTCCAATGTTAAACTACCTTTGCTTTCCTGAGATGAACTCCCCTTGGCCATAATGTAATATCATTTTTATACATCACTGGATTCACTTTTTAAATATTTTAAAAGTTTTTTTGTATATGCTTATGAGTGATATTGGCCTGTAATCTTTTTTTTTTTTTTTAATTCTCACCCGAGAACATTTTTCCATTTTTTGTTCAGATAGAGTGGGAGGGAGAGAGAGGAAGAGAGAGAGAGAGAGAAACATCGATGTGAAAGGGACACATCAAGTGGCTGCCTCCCGCACTGCCCTGGTTGGGTCAGGGCCGGGGACA